AGGTAATAACAGCTTCATTTCTGAACATGCAGATCCAGAAACAGAGTGGAACATTATATAAAGGGAATAAGGAAGATGGTTTTGGTTTATTTTTATGTTTAGTTCTGGAAGTTTTTGTGTGAAACTTTGCAGTTGGCTTGCTTCTTTCTTGTGATTACCCATCCTGGTAATGACAACAGTGTTGTGTGTCAGAGGATCATGTAGCCAGTACTCAGACCCTTCAGTGGTATCTCTTTTTCACCTCCCAGGATCGTGTCCTGATAAACCGTATTGACCTCATCTGCCAGGCTGTACTCTCAGGGAAGTGGCCTTCTAGCCGCAGGAACCAGGAAATGATCACAGGAGGAATTTTGGGGCCAGCCAACCACTTGCTAGAGAGTCCCTCATTGACCCCTGGAGAATATGGTGATTCTCCAGTCCCCACACCACGGAGCAGCAGTGCAGCTTCCATGGCTGAGGAGGAAGCATCTGCAGTAACCACAGCAGCAGCCCAATTCACCAAACTTCGCCGAGGCATGGATGAGAAGGAGTTTACGGTTCAGATCAAAGATGTAAGCTCACTACTGCAAAGTGGGAAAGGGGGCTGTTCTGTTAATGAGTTTCACTAAAGGGATATAAACTCATTTGGTTATCCAACTTTAGAAATGAGAGGAGGAAAGCAATGAGAGCTCACAGAGATCCATTTAGGAAGTCACTGAAGTAAGGGAAGGGATCTCTTGAGGACTAGATGAAAAGAAACCATATTTTTGAAGGAAATTTAATTGATACAAGACTCTTGTTGGCTCATTTCTATATATAAGCCTAATTTTTTTTGAGAAAAAATATTTATTTGAAAGGCAGAGTGAGACAGAGATCTTTAGTCCACTAGCTTACTCCCCAAACAACCACATATCAGCCAAATCTGTGCTAGGCTAAAACCAGGAACCTAGAACTCCATCCTGGTCTCACACGTGGGTGGCACGGCCCTAAGTGCTTGGAGCATCATCCACTCCTTTCCCAGATGCATTGGCAGGGAGCTGGATCAGAAACAGAGCAGCTGGGTCTCAAATTGGCACGATGATATGGGATTACAGCATCGCAAATAGTGCTTGACCTGTTGTGCCACAATGCCAGCCTCTGAGTTTTTTTTTTA